AGAGACCCTGCCTCAATCCCAGGAAGTGGAGCACAACTCAGGAAGTGACCTGACATCCACTTTGGGCAAGCACACACACAAAGAAAATGAAGGGTCTGGAAAATGGTAAAATTTGAGCCTAAACTTCCCAAGCAAAACTGTCTTTATTCTAAGAGATACTCACCATGTTTATGGACCATACTATCAATATTAAATTGATGCTCCAACTTACAGTGTGAAAATGTTTCCTCAGCGGATGCAAACAACCTGAAGAGACAAGCAACATCCTCATGGGACAATCTGCAGGGAAGAAGTCAAAATGCTGACCACCCTAAAACCTCCCAAAGGCTTCTGGGTGACGCAGCGTTCTCTGATGCATTTTGTGTCTCTCAAGTCACAAAAGTCCCCTACTTGATTCTCTTCCTCCTCCCTGTGAACCCGCACAGCACATGCTTTTAGACACACAGCACACAGCTGTCCAGCTGGCAGAGAATTCAAGCGACCTTGGATGTCCCACAGCACCTGCACTGAAGGTGAAGAATCACACCTCTTTGTATGTAACCTCCAACACGGAAGGGCAGGAACGACAAGAATATGCAGACAGACTCTGCACCCTTCTGTACGCCTAGCACACAGGTAACTCTCAACCCGTGTTTGCCAAGATAGGTCATTTGAATCGTCCTCACAACCTATCACAGGGCACTGCACCACCACGGATGCTCAATTAATATGTGTGCAGTTATTCCTCCTCTCCAATGAGGTGCCACCTAGGAACACCAATGTCACCAGTCTGCACCATGCCTCCCCCATACTGGGAGCCCAGCAGCACTGATCAATGTCAAACACCCCCTTTTCCTGCCCACACACCCAAAGTCACTTTCTTGAAACTAAGATGCAGGATTTTAAGTGAAAAGAAGGTGTGTTCTGCGAATACAAAACGCAGCTTCGTGACCTTGAACAAGTTGGTGGTTCTGTAGCTTCATTTCCCCTAAGTACAAAAGGCAGCAATTTCTCCCTCAATCCTCATAGGATGGTAGAAACAGAAGCGCTCTTCCGGACTACACACTCCGAAAATCTGTTACCCAAGTAAACCCAGAATCTGTTACCAAGTAAAACAGATTAAAACTACCCATACTGTGTCTTCATGAGTTAAGACTAAAGTGTGGAGTTCTGGTTTTTTGGTTTGAGAGGGAGGTCTAACTAGGTAGCTCAGGTTGGCCTGGGATTCGTGGCCATTCTCCTGCCTCAGCCTCCAGAGTGATGGTATGTATGCCAGACCCGGTTTAGGATCTGGGTCGGGAAGCGGGGGTGGGGTGGGGTGGGGTGGGGTGGGTGTGTGTTGTGGAAGAAGATAGTTGACTAGGCTGCAGAGACAAACCCAGAGCGGCTTCCGCTCCGCCCCCCGGGCCACGTGAGCGGCCCCTGTCAATCAGCGGCCATGCGTGGACCACGGCCTCCGGCCCGCCACGTGCTCGCTAGCTCCACAGCGCGCTTCCCACGCGGGCACGAACCTGTCACAGAACAGGCAGGGCGTGTGCTGCCGGCCGTGCGCGGGCTCGGCGTCCTCGTCCTCCCAGCCGGCGTCGTCTCCGCTGTCCGACAGCTCCGGGGGCTCCGGCCCCAGCTCGGCGCCTTGGCCTGCGGGGCACACTGTCAGCACCGGGTCCCGAGCCCGGCCGCCCGGCCGCCCTTCCGCCCTTCCCCCGCCGCCCACGCCAGGGACCCACCGTTCCCCGCCTCCAGCGAACACATGGCCGCCGACCAAAGCGCGCGGCCGCACAGCGCGGCACCGGAGCCGGGAGCGAGCGCGGGCGCGCGGTAGTCACGGAGCAACCTAGACGCCGGTCGTGCGCCGGCGGGAGAGCGCTTCCGGGTCACGTGGGCTTCTCGACCGGGTGGGGCGAGAAGCCGGGCACCTCTCCCGGCCGCTGCAGCGTGGACGCATGCGCAACGGCAAGGTTGAGCGCGACTTGCCGCAGCGCCCTCTGGCGGCGGCGGCGGCTAGTGCAGGTTAGGCTCAGAACTCTAGGTCCCTAGACAGAGAAGGCTCAGAGAACAACTTTCCTGATAAGTAGATGTGCACTGTTGAAGTCAAATGGAGCCAAGCCACACCCCCTCCTAGGGGCGTTAAAGTGGGAAAGTGAGAACATAAGCTCTACACAGAGTTTGAACCCCATTTCAACCTTAGCTAGGAGTCTAAGATCATGAGCAGGTATCCCTGCCTCCTCTCAGCCTCAGTTTCCCGGCTGGTAAAACATGATCGCGACTGCTGTAGCCTGAGGGCTATAGTAAGGGTTACATGTGTGTGAAAAGTTTAGACATTAACTTGATCCCACACCATGGAAACAGGTGGACTGTTTGATACGCGCCGGCAAAGGAGGCGGTCTGCCCTGGTGATGGGGTGATTGCCACCCCTCAGGCTGCCTCCTTTTTAATATTCCTAGTATCTAACCATGGGATTCCCTCAGACAGGTGGGCAGCAGTACTTCTGGGTGGGTAATGCCTCCAAGGTGCAGTCTAAGGCTGGACTGTGCACGGGCATGTTTGAGGACATGGCCAGCTAGGCCTGCATAGCTCGCCATCAGCTCAGCTCAGCTCCCCAACATGCACACCCTCAAGCCTGTGCACTGCTCATCTCTGAAGCTCTCCAGTGGGCGGTTCCTCCTGGTCTGCTCCACCACCAGGACTTTGCTCACATCGCCGCCATTTATATTCTTTAAAATATTTTTATTGAGAATTTCATACAATGTATTTTGATCATATTCCTCCCACTCCACCCCTTAACTCCTCTCAGATCTACCCACTCCCATGTCCCTCCCCTTTGCATCCTTTGAAAAAAAAAATAGTAACATGGGTTCCAGTTTCTGGAGTCCATATACTCTGGGTGTGGGGACATTCACTGGAGTGGCCACATCCTTAAAGGAAACTCCCTCTCCCTCTCCCGTGGCTCCTCAGTTGGGAGCTCATGAATCCTGCCCCCTCCTTGTTGGAATGTTGACTGGCTCGATCTTGTACAGGCAGCCACAGCTGCTGATTTGGAGTGCAGAGGTCCTATCATGACCAGAAGACACCGTTTCTCTGCAGTCCTCCCTGTGTGACTGGTCTTCCACCATCTCTAGAAACAGGCTGTGTCATTCCAGGCACAGCCTGTGTCTTTCTTACTGCCACCATCCATTTACTTATCTTCTCCATCTCCTCTCCCTCCCCTTCTCCTCTTTTCCTCCTTTCCCAAGGGCCGTACTCCACAATGACTCACAGAAGAGGATGGAGCCCACCAAATGTTAACTTCTGAAGCACCCTGACATTCTAGGACATCGCCAGAAATCTTGGCTAGTACACTGCTCACTAATTCATCACCAACTTAATAAGCACTTGCTGAAGAAATTAATGAATGTATGCCCTTTCTTTACCCGGGCCCATCCAACTTCCATCGCATAACTTTTCTCTCCAGCAAGGCCCATTTTTCTCTGCTGAAGGAACCTGCTGAATCAGTGATCCCCAGATGTTGTCAGGGACCACAATGCCAGTCTGGAAGTGACTGAGCAGAAGCTTCTGTGAAGCTGACATTTCACCATGGTGCAGGGCTTGGGCATGGGCTAATTTTCTCTTCCAAACATGAACCTAGATCCTTCTGACATCACTCTACTGTTACAGAGATCTGAATGTGGACTCATTTGCTCCTTAATGTTTGATGTGCAGAAATGGTAGAGTAATTGGCCACGGAATCTGGTTGCTTTCAGAGCCTACAAGGCTCAGCATATTCTTATGAGTACCCCCAAAGGCTGCTTCACTTCTGGGGGCTCAAGACTAATGTGATGGAAACACGTTCAGGCTCTTCCAAGCCCAGCCAGCCACAAGGGAACCCCACTGGCAGGAAGTAAACTTCTCATTTTGAGAAGGGTTTTACTCTAGTCCAGGCTGACTTTGAGCCATGGTCCTCCCGCCTCAGCCTCCCTAGTGCTAGCATTACAGGCATGCATCCAGCGCTGTCTCCTTGTAACACACATTCC